CTTCTCCCTCCCCTCCCTATAACCCTCCTCTGAATCCCTGTGAGGTTTAGCACCCACCACCATGCTTGCTTTTTGGCTAACATAAACAATAACACTGACTATGAGAAACTGGTCTCAAAGACAGGTGGTCTTTATTAATGGCAATAGGTTTTCCTTCCCCTGCCAAAATCCACTCAAAGGCAAAAAACTAACTCATTTGGTTGGCCCTTGGGATTGATAAATAAGGAAATCAATGAATCATCTGAACATTTCAATTATTTCAAAATTTCAGAAAGTATTAATATCCCACCTTCCAATTCTATAAAATTAAAATTGTAATTATTACATCAGGTAAGTGTACCTTTTAATAGGAAATACCTATGAACCAGACTTGTCTTCAAGAGAATCTAAGCTAGGCTTTCCCCAACATGACCATGGAGATTCATGGTTTTCCCCACAGTTTTAAAGCAAAAGCTCAAGTGGAATGTGAAAAAAAAGAAAAAGTAGCTCTACATAACCCTTGGACTCCATCAGACATAACTGAATTGCACTGTAAGTTGTGGAGTCACTGTGCAAAAGTGAACACAGCAGGCTTTGGAGCCCAGGCCAGATCCTTTACTGTATGCTTACAAGCTTTGTGGCTTTCTTAGCTTTAATTTCCTCTTCTATAAAATGAGACTACCACCTGTCTTCCAGAGTTGTTTTGAGAGTTTGAGATAATAAACACAAAATTTGGCACATAATGGTGTTCAATAAATTGCCATTACTACATTTTGACTTTGATGTCACCTATCTTAATTGGGAAATGTGGTTAGTCATGGAATAAAAAGCCCCACTGTCTCTCTAACACATTCTATGTGATTTCAATTTATTTTCAATGACACTGTTGGCAGGCAAAGGGTAGAAATCAGTTATGTCTTAATAGAGTACTGCTTTAAATTTTAAATAAGAATCATCGGGGTTCAATATATTCACTATGCATACAGAAGGAAGCCTTTCTTTAATATTTCAATCTGCTTCCTTAAGAAAAAAAAAAGTTTGTCAGTTTACTAGCAGAAATTCATAGTAGAAATCTCAGGTCCTGCCTGCTTCTCTGGAGTGAAGAAACACCAAGTGAAAGTAAGTTATCCAAACACAGTATGGCAGAAAGCAACTTGATTCCTAGTACCCAAAGTAGGATTATGCAATCCTTTGGGCACAGGGAAGCAGAGAATGAAAAAAAGGAGGTGAGAGGAAGGGAATAAACATTTCCCACTAGCACTTGCCTGCCCCAGAATAAAGCAGTGGTACCAATACCACACAATGCTGATGCATACATTTGGATACATTTGGTGAGAGGAAGGGCTATTATGCATCCAACTTTCCCCCCTTTTTCAGCTACCAGCATCTTGATCTTACCTGTGTGTTTCTGGGAGGTACAGCTGGGGATCACAGAAAAAGGGAGATCATCAGAATTGAAAGAAACCTTAGAGGTCACTTAACTTTCCTCAATTTACAGATGTGAAAACTGAAGCCTAGAGATGGATAATTGAGAAGTAATTGCTTCTCAATTAAAGAATAAAAAGGAACTCAAATCCAGCTCAACTCTTATTTCCCTCTTTGCATTTTAACTTTCATAGTGGACTGGTCCTTAAATGGCATGATGTAATCCTTAGCTGCAACACTTATTGTAAGACACAACATTCTACTAGCTACCCAGGTCATAATTTGTAAGACTACTGTCAGGTAACTATTTAAAAAGCAAACCTGAAATACTGTTGGTATCTTAGTAAAAAAAAAAAATCACAATATATTTGTCAACACTAGCAAAGCCTCAGAGACTCTGATATGTAATTAGTTCTGTTTCAGGATATAAAGCCATTTATAAAGGTGAACAGACATTGTTAAGGTAACTAGCAAGCTTTGCTTAAAACACAGTCTCATCTGCCTGGGAGACTACAAAAGGAGACAATGCTACCAGTCCAGTTCACATCCGTTTATGTACTCACTCTCAGAACATATACTGTATCTATTACCTATTTCATTACTTCCCAGCCTTTTTCAGGTTAGAATCCCTTGGACAAACAGATGTCAGCTATAGATATTTTCCCCAGGAAAAAGGCACATAGTAACATACAAAATTTTGCATATAATTTCAAGGAATTTAGTAAATCCACACATAGGCTCAAGAACTGCTGTTCTAGTATTCACCTAAGTTAGTATGTGCTACCTTATATTGCTATTTATCCCCACCCATGTGTGTCCTGGCTCAGATCAAAAGTTGCTCAGAGTTGGTTATGGGTATTATAATAACCCTCTGTATCAACAGCCTGGATGCATTGCTCAGCCCAAAGTAGAGACTCAACATCTCTTAATAGTTTTTTTTTTTTTTTTGTGGAGGGCAGTGTCACCGGCCCTCACATGTGGGATCCGAACTGGGGCCCTCTGGCGTCCCAAGCCAGCTCCATCGCGCCACTCGGCCGGCCCTCTTAATAGTTCTTAATAGAAGGTCATTTACCCATTTTGTGTCCACCAATGGCTAAGTGCTGTACAAGGAAATTAGGATTCAAAGATTGAATAAGGACCCCATCCTCAAGGAACTCACAATCTAATGTAAAAGATTAAAAAGTAAACATATGATTACAATAGTGAAAAAAGAGGCTAAAATGGAGGGGAAAACAGATGGGAAAAGGAGCACAGGGTACGACCTGGTGCTCTCAGACTTTTAGGTGTGTTGGAGATGATGGGTTAGGAGATTAGAAAGGTGACATGGAAAGCTTCACGGAAAATGAAGCATGCTTGAGCTAAGTCTAACAAAAACAACAAAATACCAGAAGAGGGGTAGAAACACAGACAAGCAAAAAAAAAAAAAGAGTAGGGAGTAGAGAAGTATACCTTAATTATTCCTCTTCTATTGTGTCATTCCTATAGTTAATCAAACACTACTCCTGAAAAACACTGTGTTAATACTGCACATATATTGCTATTCGTTCTATACTTATAAAACACCTATATGAACATGGTAAAACAAATAAATTTGGCCATTCCATCCAATTCTGTAAAGTAAGATTTGAACTAATCCACCATGATAAATCATGATAAATTCAGTGTTTAATTGTCCAAAGACAGAGGTCACAATTACCATGCTAATTCAACTGTTAGCACATTTAATCTTCTTATATACTGTAACAATGAGATTTTTGCATTATGTACAGGTGACAAATAAATGTGGCTGAAGTTTCAGTTCAAGTTATTTATTTATGGAAGACAGGTCCGTATGTCATTTTCCTCCTATATATTCTAAGTAAAAGGTCGGGATTCTACAAAATGGAACCGAGAGAAGTAACCACTGCCAGATGATATGAGTCAAGTTGAGCCTCCTCACTTCCTTTAATAGACTGAAGTGTAGTTAATAGTTCATTTTTGTTAGGTATTAAACTATTGATAACAGTATCATTAATTTTAATTATAGTTAGGCATACATACTTTTCAGTGAAAGAAAATTAGTAACGAATTATCGTTATTGGAAATTACATCAGGTAGGCTGAGGTAGAGAAAAATTAACTTGCATTATCAGAGTAGAAAACACAAGCAATTTTAAAGCTATTACCTCATATCCTTCCAAAAGTTCTGGATTAAGAGATAGCAATTTGTATTGTATTTCTTAATACTTAGCAGCGTGTTCAAAACTTCACTATTTAGTATGCCCTTCTATTTCATTTTATCTTCATAACAGCTTTATAAGGTTGGCAAGTCAGTCGGTATGTTTGTAGATGAGTAAACCCTGCATGGCAGAGGCTTATGACTCGTTAGTTTTTCTCTACCTAAGCCTACCTGACATTATTTCACATGTTTAACAGGCAGAACTGGGATTATAAAGTGATCTTCTGACTCAAAGTCCAGTGGTTTTTCCTTTATAACACTATTTTTTAAAAAATTATCTAACACAACCACACTTCCATAAATTATATCCTTGAAACTGCAGGATAACTGGGTCTTTTAGTCATCTACTGTGTTCATAAAATGACTTATTTCTGCACCTCCACAAGGGTTTACATTTTATTATTGGTTTATCTTGGACAGTTCAGCACAATATATGTCAGTTCAGCACAATATATGTTATCAGTATCCCCAGTATGGCTTATATAATTGAATCCTCTCACCAAAAGTCTTTGTATATTGCAGACTTACAAGCGAATGAAGGCAAAAGAGCTTTAACACAAGCTATCAAACAAATACTATTACCCACATTTTGCCATTTTACCAAGTTTCATTCAGTGGCAAGATACCAAGCTATTCTATTTCCTATAATGCCCACTTCTGGAAAAAGGAAGAATTACACTGATATCGAAAATCCATGATGGTATTTCAGTTGTGAAAAGCAATTTAATCCCTCAATTCAGGGCTTCACACAGTTTGGTTCCTAACCTGGACCTCATTTTTAAGTGGGAACCCAGGTGCAACGGATGAATTTTTATTGCTTTAGGGAACTACATGAGTTCCCCCATGTGCAAATTAAAATAACACGCAAACACTCCACTTAATCGGGAGGGCTGGTATTAATTAAGCACTTTACCTCATTACCAGTCACCTCCATACAGAAAAAGGAAATTCCACAAAAGCTATTTGCCCTCGTTATTGCGTTCAAAACCCAAACCTCCGCCCCAAACCTCTGGCAAACTCCTGCAGCCTCTGTTTCTGCACCATCCACCCTGATTTCTCAGGGGATAAATTCGCTGAAAGGACGGTGATAGTAGTCCTCAACGAGGGGGGTAGAGTTCGCGTTGAAGAATCTTCTCAAATCAATCCCGCCACTCCTCTGACCAAAGCAGTCCCAAGTCCACTGATTCTAGGATGGCGGCGGCTACCAGAAAACAACAACAATAAACAAAACAAGCTGTCGACGCTAGTCAATCGGCGTCAGTGCCCTCACCCCTCCATAACTAGACCTAAAAGGTCAGCATCGGACTCCTCCCAGGGCCCCAGACCCTTCCCCCGCTTCCCTAAGCCCTAGCAGCAGCTTTTCAGACAGGAAAGGATACTCTCCATATTCGACATGATTCCACGACTTTTCTCGGGAGGCGACAGCCAGGGTCAGCAGCACGGTTTGACCGGAGGACTCGCTGAGTGCCTTCGTAGTCCCCACCTGCGGCCGGACAGGTTCCTTCGTTTGCGATCCCACTTCCTGTTTTTGCGCTAGGCCGGCCGGGAGGCGGAGCCGTCTGCGTCAGTGGGGCGGGGCTGGGGCTCGTCAAAATGGCTGCCGCCCGCAGAGGCAGTTAGGGTGGGCTGCGGACGCTGGGGGGCGTTGGGGTGCTCGAGGGCAAGAGGTCACGCCCCACCCTCTCGTGTTCCTCTGCTGCACCCTAGTTTAATCCAGCGAATAACGGTTTTCGTCACTCAGCTAACCTTCCAGTTCTTTCTTTTGTGTTACTCTGAACTCTTCTTAACCTTCCGCGCTATCTCTTTCCTCATATTTCATACTATCTTTGGCCCCTCACTTTTGTTCTCAGAGCGTATATCTTACGGATGAAGGAAAAAAGGTATAGGGCTTTTAAAGTACTTTTTAAAATATATATATACATATATACATATATACATATATAATCGTGTAAAATAAAGACCTAAGGGATAAGCGGGGCTGGTAGCTTTGAATTACGCGTTCGAGTTGAAGTTTTAAAAATGATAATGATTCTTAAATTTTTAGGTTAGAAAGGGAGGACAAAAAAAGTATTCCTAGGTTTAAGAGGTAAAGTTGCTGTGAAAAATATATTCTCAATAAGTACATTATTATTTTTTACAATAGGTGGTGTGAAATTTGAAAATTACTACGAAACCGCTAAACCGTAATGCGAACAGCGGTTGGCGGTTAATCGACGTATTAGTGTTTGCCGGTTTGTATGTGACTGATGAGGAAGGGTAACTGCATTTCAGTTCAAAACTCTTGTAGATTCCAAGGAAGAACTAAGAATTATTACTTTGGGGAAAATAGCTAAAATTGTTTTCTTACTGAGGAATTTTACAAGCTTGACTTTAAAATTTTTCTCATCTTTGAAATTTCAAGATGTGGGGAAAATAGTGAGTATATAATTGGCTGAGCTTTTTATCTTTACAATTGTTTTCTGTCAAACCAAAATGTTTCTAAAAGCTGTTTTACTCGTGTTAAGGAGCATTGGTAGGCTTCAGACTGTTATCTAATTATAAACCCTTGATGCTGGAAAAACAAACCTTTTTGAATGGAAGGTTAATCTGGAAACCACTTCCATAGATGAAACTATATAAAGATTATTTCTCTATATATGTATGTGAGTGTGTATTTGAGATGAAAGTTATATTTCTAAAGAGACAGACAAAACTTGGTAGATTTTATTGTTTCATCACTTTCCATGCTCACCAATTGTATTTCATTGTTTGAGATTTTTTTTTGTATAAAGGTAAAAAAAAAAGTAAAGTTCTTCCCTATGTGCTTAATATGTATTAACACAGCTCTTTCAATAAATCCACATGTAGACCAGAACAGTCCCCTAAAGCTTAAGCATTTCCAGGATTTATGTAAAATTTTTTTAGATATATGTTGGTAACCTAAAAGAATAAGCCTTTTAAAAAATGTTTTTTAAGTGTTTTTACATATTATAGAATTTCTTAAGAGAGGGTCCCTTAGGATAGGAACAGATTTTTAGTAAAATTAAGATGTGAAGATATTTGTTCAGTTAGGAAATTTGTTACTGATGTCCATGTTAAGTAAAAAAAAAAAAAAAAACCAGATGCATAGCCTATATCTTTGATTTGCAAACCATTTAAAAGATTAAGAAGTTGTTTTTATTTTTATGAGTTCTGAACTAATTTTGACTCCAAAAATTGACCTTATTTTTAAATTGGATATCTTATTTCTTTAGATTTTTTTAAATCTTAGGCACAGTAATAGAACTATTTAAAGAATATATATATATATATATATATATTCATTTCTAACTGCTCCTGTTGAAAATAAGGAATTGAAATCTGTTAAAATCATAAACTTGTTTTATTGCCGAGAAAATATAGAAAGGAAAGACGTCAAACTTTAGTTGTTTTTGTCAAATATTGAATACCAATGAAATAATATTTGTAAAGCATGATTATAGAATAAAAAAAGCAAGACAGCAATCAGCTGTGACCTGTCACCCAAATAAGAAAATTACCATTCCCTTTAAATTCTTGTGTACCCCTTTACTAATTACTTTCCTTTCCTTCCCTCTTCAGAGGTAACTACTGTCTCAAATTTATAATTTCCCTGTTTTTCTTTATAGTTTTACCATAGTATTTGCATCCCTAAACATTATGTTATTTAGTGTTGCATGTTTTTGAACTTTGTGTAAATGAAATCATACTGCTTTTTCTTTGACTTGTTTTTGTAACTCATCATAGTGTTCTTTATCTATATTAATATGTGTAACCATAATTAATTCATTTTCACTGCTATAGAATATTCCACTGTATGAATATACCATAATTTATTCATTCATTCTGCTGATGGATATCTGCGTTTCCAGGTTAATACAGCCTCTGAGAATATATTAGTGTTATTGTTAACAAATACTCTGACTAAACACCTAAGATCATTAACTTTGATCTCCTAAACATGTAAGGATGAACTCTGAATACCTATCATAGTGATGATTAAGGTTAATATTTTTAAAGCCAGGTGTAATCTTTAAAAATATAATTTTACTCTCACCCTAGGTGCAATTTTAAATCATTGTTTATTGTATTTATTCATATTTCTTATTGTTTTGGGTTATCTTGGCTCTTAACATTGTTTCTTACACTCTACCAGATTTAGTAATAACTCCTACCTTATCTCACCTGCATAGGCAACAACCTTCTCCTTTCACCCTTGATAACAGGGATATAATGATAAGGATGATAGGTATAGTACCTCCCAATTTGTTTTGAGACTTAGTTAACTCTAAACATGAAGTTTTAACTGAAGCAACATCAGTCACATATTGATTGATAAACTTAGATATGGTAAATTTCACCTGTGGATACTCAGAAATATGTGTTTTAAAATAAATATCTGTGAATTTTCACTAGGATAAATTGAGATGTAAAGAACCAACACAGTATCTTAACTCAGCAGCTATTGAATATGTTAATGTTTGACATGAATGAAGTTAATGTGGTAAATTATAATTCTCCCAGGAAATTAAGTTATTTTCATGATTAATCATTCTTAGTTCTAAAAATATTTTTCAATCCACGGTGCTACACATAATAAGCTTTGCTTTTTGAAGTTAAAAACATTTATAAAACAATTGCAGTTGAAATATAAATTACTTAATTTTTAAATTTTAATTCTATTTGTAGTGTGACAACACATTTTTTGTTACTTTTTAGCAAATTATTTCAAGATGATTAGAAAATTAAATGGTACATAACAAACTTCCATTGAAGTAGAAAGGAGTATACCAGAAATGCGTGTAGAATTATATAATATTTCTCAAATTTCGGTGTCCTTGTTAAAAATACAGATGACTGGCCTCACCTCTATAGATTCTGATAGAATAAGTTTGGATATGAGCCCAGAAGTTTATATTTTGATTCTGTTTGTGTAATAGAAATGAACATTTGAATATAGAGTAATATAAATCCTATATTGCCTTATATAGCTCAATTTGGGTGGAACTTCATAGTTTACAAAATGCTTCTTTTACATCATTTCATTTGATACTTAAAGTAATCTGGAGCAACCTGGGCAGGCATTATCATCCTCTTTTTACTATTTAAAAGTAAAAAGGAAAAACAAAGCTCAGTGAAATTAACATGATTTGCCCAAGCAAGTTTTGAACAAATGGAGTCTGTATTCAATTCAGGCCTCCTCAATTCCTAATCCAGTGTTTTTTTAATGTGTGCAGCAGATGGGCAAGGAGGAATTATAAATAAGACCACTTCTGCTTCCTGCTTTCTATAGCTTATGTGCCCATTTAGTGTAAAAGTAAAATGAAGAATTATTCCAGCTGGCTGGTAGTCTTTCTGGTTTCCATAAGAAGATTCAGTTTCCTAGAAATTCTAGAGTAGTAAAAACTGAGGGTCTTTCCTCTTCATAATGGAAAACCTTTCTCTAGGCAGACAAAGAACAACTTTTTGATTTCATTATTCTGTTTTTTATTTAATTTGCAGAATTCCCTAGCCTAGAATTCTTCAAGTGACAAGCGAAAGCTAAGAGCTACAGAAGAGGTGAAACTCTTTTTTGCTGAGGCAAGTAGAGGATGAGGTGGGAACAGAAGTTTAAAGACAAGAGGAATGCGTTTGAGTGGCTGCCAAAAGAGACCTGAAAAATAATCCAATTTATAATTAGGAAGTGAGAGATTAGCATAAAGAGACAAGATGAGAAGCTGAGTATGACAGTCAAATGAATAGAAAAAAATGAAAAAATTACTCTTAGATAGTTAGGAAAAATACATCCATATTTACCATTTCTATAAATGATAATTTCTAAGATTTCATTGTTATTTTAGTAATAAATGGTGTATTTTGTGATTATAATATGTAGTTAACAGAAAGAGCATGTCTCTACAAATCTTTGATTTTAACAGAGCACTCAAGACTTTAAAATTTCCCTTTGCTGGGAAGCATTTTTTAAACTTGAATAATCTAATGAAACTATATTGTGTTATTAGCTGAGTTTATTTATTCTTAAAGGGTGACATAGTGAAAAATAATAAAGCATTTGCTATTATTAGAGATAGGTTCCCACTTTGGGAGGATTCCAAATTAGTTTTGAATGTTGTATGATTCATACATTGTTTAATATAGGTGTAAGTACTCATAGTCAAACTGATTTTTAATAAACCTTTTCCTTATCTCTATTATTTTACTAACTAGGAGCTGTTTGAAGAAAAGTCTTAAGAAAAAGCGAAAATAAGAGAAGGGCAGGTGAAAGCAAGGTAAAAAACAAACCCACTAGCTTTCTTAAAAGACTACTGTTCTGTTACTCCTGTATCCCATTTTACTGGCCACAAAACCTACACACTTATGTTCAGATACTGCTTTTCTTTACTATTACTTTCTTACCACCCGTTATCTTAGATTGATTTTGAAATCTCAAGTCAGAATTCTATCAAAATTCCAATGCTTTTAGAACTTTTTCTGGTAATTGATTAGAACAGAGTTAGCATGCTTTGTAAATATTTTAAGTCCTCTGTAGTTTAGTACACACATTCTATGATTTTTCAAAATCAGTTATAGTGTGGTCCATAATACTTACTTCTAGATCAGGGTTTCTTACCATCACTATAGACATTTTGGGCTTTTCAATTACTTGTTTTGGGGGGCTGTCCTGTACATTGTAGAATGTTTAACGGTATCCCTGGCCTCTACCACCTAGATACCCGTAGCTCCTCCCAACCCCAACTTGTGAAAAACCAAAAATGTCTCCAGAGATTGTCAAATATCCTCTAGAGTACAAAATCACCTGCAGTTAAGAACCACTGCTCTAGCTCTGGAATCATCTACCACTGCCTTAATATTAAACCAGCAGATACACAATGTAATAGCAACAAAAACATCTTTCAGCTTATTCTTTTGCAGGAATAACCATAGCAAGAGTAAAGCAATAATAAATAACATCTCTAGATTTTAAACCACTTTACTAAAATTGGTAAAACTAGGATCCATGAACTCTTTTTTGAAGTCATTGGAACTTTTTTTTTTTCATTTTGGAGGCAGTGGGAAGAGTAGGGAATTTAGAGTCATTCAAATCTAGGTTTGAATTTCTGGATCCTATACTTAATATCTGATTATCTTGGACAATTTATTAAGCTCTTTGTGTTTCGATGCACTCATTTGCAAAAACAGGGATAATATTTATTTTTTGGTTTATTGTGAGGATTAAATGAGATTATCCTGAATGGTAGAATGCATAGGATAGAGGCTCTCAGAAATAGTAACAAAGGAATGTTTCTCTGCAGCCAAAAAACTCTCGATAAAGAGGTAAACATCATAAGGAAAGGTATTTGACACAAAAGAAAAAAAAACATGAAACAAAAGCATAGTACCTTGGTGCTTCAAAAAATTTAGGCATTTCTGTTTACCATTCTTTGAGAAGGAATTAATGTCAAGAGAGGACCCAGAGCAAGACATTTACAACAAATGACAGAAGGTCTTTTATCAGAATGGACTGTTTAATGTTCTTCTCAATGAAAAGAAAGGGTAAATATTGATTGAATGAGTATGTAAAATCATGGAGTATATGGCGAGAGTAAATATGAATGTATTGCCAGGATCTTGAGCAAGTGAGAGTAGGTGATATTCCTATGACTCAGCCTACTCAGTGCTAGAAGGAAATATTCATTTTTTTATTTTAAATAAGTTTAATAACATAGCCTCTCAATATTACATGATCCTATATAGTTATATAAGAAGTTTTAATTTTATGAGAAAAATTTAAAATATAGAAAATATAAAGACTAATATATTAAACACACATGTTTTCACCTCCAGGAATTTACAGCAGTTAATATTTTGTCACATTTGTTTCAAGTCCTTCTTAAAATAAATAAAACAATATAGATGAAGTTGAAGTCTGCTTTCACCACACTCATTAGTCTTATTCTCTGCTCTCCTTCCTGGAAACAACTATTTTCATGAGGTTCTGTGTATTCTTTTCCATGTACAAATGTACATTCATGGATAATATACAATATTCATATGTGTTCTTAAATTTACATAAATATTACACTTAATATATGTCTAGGTTCCATACATTTTACTCAACACTGTTTTTGAGATCTTCAAATGTTGATGTATCTACATTTATATATGTAATAATCCATCATATAAACATAGCACATTTTATTTATTAATTTCCCTCTTGATGGACTTATAAGTTGCTGTCAGGTTTTTTTTTTCAACTACAAGCAATGCTGTAGTGGTTCACTGTCTTACTGTACACATTTGCAAGATTATTAAAGTATATACTGGAAGTGGAATTATTTGTACATAGGGTAGAAATAGCTATTTTTTGTTTATTTTTTAATTAAGTATAGTTGGTAATCAATATTATATTAGTTCTAATAGTTTCAGGTGTACAATAAAGTGATTTCAACATTTTTATACCTTACAATGTGATCACCTATACTAATTCTAGTAATCATCTGTCACCCTGCAAACTTATCACAATATTATTGACTATATTCCCTTTCATCTTTTCCCCCACCCCCCACCCTATCCTTTCTGGTAACCATCCCTTTGGTCTATATTTCTATGAGTCTATTTTTGTTTGTTTGTTTGTTTGTTTAGTTTCCACATATAAGTTAAACCATATGGAATTTGTCTTTCTCTGTCTGACTTATTTCACTTAGCATCATACCCTCTAGATCCATTGATGTTATCACAAATGACAAGATTTTACTCTTTTTTATGGCAGAGTAATACTCCACTATATAAATGTACCACATTTTCTTTATGCAATCATCTAGTGATGGGCAATTTGGTTATTTCCATATCTTGGCTATTGTGAATAGCATTGCAATGAACATAGGGGTGCATATATTTTTTCGAATTAGTGTTTTGGATTTCTCTGGATAAATATGCAGGAGTGGAATTGCTGGGTCATAAGGTAGTTCTATTTTTAATTTTTTGAGGAACCTCCATACTGATTTCCATAGTGGCTGCTCTAATTTGCAGTCCCACCAACAGTGCACAACGGTTCCCTTTTCTCCACATCCTCGCCAACACTTGTTGTTTGTTGATTTATTGATGATAGCCATTCTGACAAGAGAGGAGTGGTATTATACTCTCTTCTTTGATTGGCTCTTCCATTTCTGTAAATTTTAATACCATCTATACACAGATTACGCCCAAATTTAGATCTTCAGGCTAAACCTCTTCTCTGAACTCTAGCCTCAAAAACTCTATTGCCTACTTTATAAACTGATGTCTCTCAGGCAACACACACACAAACACACACACACACACACACACACACACACACACACCTGTTTCTCCTCTCTTTACTCCAGTTCAGTAGATGATACCAACATTCGTCCATATTGCTCATGCCAGAAAGCAGGGATTAATTCTTCATTCCTTCCTCTTTCTTATATTCCACATTGAATCTGTCACCAAGTCCTATGGACTCTACATCAAAAACATTTCTGAATCTGTTCATTTATCTCCATATGAAATGAAGTGATATTAAGAAGGTGTCTGTTAGGTTTCTCAATATGTACTCTGTGTATAAACTTAAGAGGAGTTTCAGTGCAGTTAAGATGGGGGGAGGTAGAGCCACATGAAGAGTTAAAAGTGAATCAACAGGGTGGTTGCAGAGGAGGATGAGAGATCAGGGACCTCTTATGTTTACTTGTTTTTGTTTTATTTAGATTGAATAGATAGGTTCAAAATTTAAACACACACAGTATATATGTATGTATGTATGTATGAATATATGTATGTCTATCTAAAACAGTGTGGTTTCTCCTGTCCTTGTCCCTCACTGCCTGATCTTTGTTTCCTCATCCATAAATAGGTAACATATTACTTTTGTTACTTTTAAGTATCATTCCAGAGATTTTGTTTTTTGCAAACATAAATATATAGTTAGTGATTGTCTTGTTCCTTTGTTGTTTTCAGTTTTATATCCCACATATCAGTGAAATCATATGGTTCTCTACTTTTTCTGTCTGACTTATTTCGCTTAGCATAATAATCTCAAGATCCATCCATGTTTTTGCAAATGGCACTATTTCATATTTTCTTATGGCAGAAGAGTATTCCATTATTTATATATATACCACATCTTCTTTATCCAATCATTTGTCGAAGGACACTTTGGTTGTTTCCATGTCTTGCCCACCATAAATAAAGCTGCAATGAACATTGGAGCACGTATATCTTTACGTATAAATGTTTTCAGATTTTTTGGGTAGATAGTCAGGAGAGGGATTGCTGCATCATAAGGCAATTCCATTCTTAATCTTTTGAGGAACCTCTACACTGCCTTCCATAGCAGCTGCACCAATCTGCATTTTCACTAACAGTGTATGAGGGTTCTTTTTTCTCCTCAGCCTCTCCAACACTTATTATTTGTCATGATGATGATAGCCATTCTAACTGGTGTGAGGTGAATTTTCATTGTGGTTTTTATTTGCATTTCTCTGATAATTAGTGATATTGAGCATCTTTTCATATATCTATTGGCCACCAGTATGTCCTCTTTGGAGAAATGTCTATTCAGGTCCTCTGCCCATTTTTTAATTTGACTGTTTGTTTTTTGTTTTTGAGTTCCTTATATATTTTGGATATTAGCTCCTTATCACAGGTGTTGTTTGCAAAAATCTTCTCCCATTTGGTGGTTTTCTCTTTATTTTGTTGATGGTTTCTTTTGCTGTGCAGAAGCTATTTAGTTTGATATAGCCCCATTCATTTATTTTAGCTTTTACTTCCCTTACATTTGAAGTCAAATTCATAAAGTCCTCTTTGAACCCAAGGTCCATAAGTTTAGTACCTGTTTCCTTCTATACAGTTTATTGTTTCAGATCTTATGTTTAAGTCTTTGATCCATTTTGAATTAATTTTGGTACATGGTGACAGATAGCAGTCTAGTTTCATTCTTTTGCACATGGCTTTCCAATTCTCCCAGCACCATTTATTCAAGAGGCTGTCTTTTCTCCATTGTTTGTTTTTGGATCCTTTGTAGAAAATTATCTGTCCATATTTATGTGGGTTTATTTCTGCATTTTCAATTCTATTTCATTGGTCTGTGTGTCTCTTTTTCTGCCAGTACCATACTGTTTTGATTATTGTTGGTCTGCAGTACAAGCTGAAGTCAGGGATTGTGATACCTCCAGCATTATTCTTTTTTCTTAGGATTGCTTTTGCTATTCGGTGTCATTTGTAGTTCCATACAAATCTGATGATTTTTGTTCTAGTCCTTTTAAAAATGTCA